CCCCCTGGCTGAGGCAACACTCACCCAGAAGCTGCTCAACTTGGTGCAACAAGCAGCCAATTACAAGCAGCTGAAGAAGGGAGCTAATGAGGCCACAAAGGTAGTTACAAGATTCTTTCCCTTTTGGTACTATTCATGCAGTTCATATTTTTCCACACAATTATTGAATGTGAAATCTTGTACTAAGAGGAAGATTGCTTTAAGATAAGAAAGGAAATAGAAAATACTTTTATTGTAAGAATAGTTAAGATCTGTATAAACACATTAATAAAATAAATCCTAGATAATCTGACATTGCCCTCTAATTAGCACCATCTGTTGAAGAGAGATTAAGGAGAAAGCATATTTACCAAAGACTTTGTATTCTATTGTTAAAGTTTGACCTGTAATGATATTCTAGTCTACAATTTCCCCTTGAAAAGTAAGAGCCCTGTTGCACACTTTTTCTGTCAATTTTTGTTTCTGTATACAAGTGGACTGCCCTATTAGACCTGTTTACATTAACATATTCTATCTAATTTATCAGTAAAGCATTCTGGTTGTATAGATCTTCTGTAGCATAAGATCAAGAAAGAAATAGATTTAATGATAATGGTCCCTAGTGTCTTCACCTGGAAGGTGTTCTATATGCGTGTGATACATGCAAAAAGCATTGTATTCATACAAAAATGCAAAACTACAGAAAAAGTACTTGTGGGATAGGGCTTTAAGAAATCTTGCATATGCATTTTGCAGATGCAAGTCACTAATTGATTCTTAACCCACTAGCGACAGCATATTTTGTAGCTGAAAATAAGTTTCCAGGTGGCTTCAAAATCGGTGCACGGGGCTGGCCCGGAGTCTGCCCACGTGCCAGCCGCAGCCTGCGATGCAAACGGAGCACAAGCTCCAATCCAACGTCACACCGGCAGGACGCCCGGCAATGTTTATTTTTCAGGGTGTCACATGTGATACCCAGCATGAATGGGTTAAAATAGAAAAGTAAATTTTATGGTTTAACCAGGAGAGCAATTGTTCCAAATCTTCCCAAAGTACTGTCCTACAATTGAAAACCAAGCCACCTTTCCTAAAAGCCCACCTTTCTTTCAGGCTCTGAACCGAGGTGTGGCTGAAATGATCATCATGGCAGCTGACACAGAGCCCCTTGAGATCCTGCTCCACCTCCCTTTGTTGTGCGAGGACAAGAATGTCCCCTACGTCTTCGTACGCTCAAAGACCGCTTTGGGCCGTGCCTGTGGCGTATCAAGGGCTGTCATGGCCTGTGCCATCATGGCCAATGAAGGATCTCAGCTGAAGCAGCAGATCACCATGATGCACCAGGAGGTTGAGAAGCTCCTGGTGTAGAATCCTACTAATGTACAAAAAAAATGTAATTCCATGAATTGTATCTGGCATTGTTACCCAAAACCATAATACATATATATATTAAATATATAGTAGATTATCATAATTTAATTATGATTTTTTAATGCAGGCAGCCTCTGCTAAAGACATTTCTTTTTCCTATTGCCAGATATGTCAAGTGATATTCATGACTAGAATTATATATACCTGTTTGATTTTTTTTTTTTTTTTTTTTTAATGTACTTTTACAATAAACTGAAAACTCAATTGTTTGTATAGTTGTAATCTCCCTCCCCCCCAAAATCTGAATATTGTAAACTTAAACCACTGAAGTGCTATGCCTGTGAGCAAAAGCACCAGGTCCCTCTGTTGTTTGGCCCTGTAGACAAGGCACTTGCTCATCAAGCAAACCTATTTTTCTGGACATGGCATAAGTAGCCAAGGTGTTCAACACGAAATGCATGCATAGAACATGACAAACGACATGTAGGCAAGTTTCAGTATAAGGGACACCACACAATTTCAGTAAAGAACACCTGTCATGATTGTTTATTGAAAGTTTGTAGTTGCTGACAGTAAATTTCAGATTTAAAGAAAATTTCAGTAAATGCATCAATAGAAAGTGTGATACAGCTACAGTAAAGTTATATCTTGATTATTAAAAGTTTTCATAGTTGCTGAAAACATTTTTTTTTTTTTTTTTTGTATTATCTGCTACATTTAGAAATGTTTAGACATTTTTTAAAGAATTGAGTCTCACCCTTTTCTATAAAGGTACTGGTAAAATGAAGAAAAGTTTATGCAGTGCAGCCATAATAAGGCATTTTCTGTATACATTACTTTGAATAATTTAAGTTGCATGTATCTGGAGCTGAAATTCAAAATCCTCATTCCTACAAGTGTGCAGAGATTATCGGAAAAAAGAAAGCAAAATTCCAATCCCATGCTCTTTGTTGCCGCAAGGACTTACGAAACGGAGACTGGGACCCAATGCTAGGGATCACCCCTGCTTTCTCAGCCTTCTCAACTAATTTTTCATGGTCTTTTCTATTTTTGTGTTCTCTACTTTATCCCCTCCTGTACGTATCCTTCAGTGAGAGAGCCGTACTGAATGGAGGAAAACCTGATTTTGTCAGTCCTGTACGGCCTTCGTATTCCAGTGCTAATTCCTCTGCCCTTTTAATACCATAACCTACAGTGGTCTACAACTTTTGGCATGCAACATATTTTTTCCTAATCATTACCTTTTAAGTTTTTACTTTTTTGTCAGTACTTTATCATAATGCTGTATGACTTTACCTTTCCTTACCTGGTGCTTCACCCCCAAGCCTTACCCAGTTGCTGTATTTGTGTGTGTCGCTAATGGCCTTAGATGTTGATGTGGCAGAAATTTTTCAGTAAATAAATAAATTACCCAACAGATTTCTTAGTTCATTTAATGAGTGCTGAAGAGAGGAGCACTTGGGAAAGGTTTTGCATTTCCTACACTCAAGTTTATTTAAGCTTCATGAGATATCCTGACCTGTACTGTACTCTATTCGAAGAACATATTTGTCAATACTGATTATTCCTTTTTTCTCAAGAATTTATGGCAAATAGGACAGTAAACAATTTTTTGATGGAAAATATGAATCTCTTTTTGCAAGGCAATATGAACTGATAGTGTTGGCATTTAAAAGTAAAAAGAAAAAAAAGAACAATGAATTTGTGTGGCAAAATATTCCCAGAACATAATGAAATGATGTAATATAAACAAAATTTTCAATAAATGTTACTATATTCAGTGTATATTGCAATGCTGCAGTATAACAGCTATAATCATAATTTGTTTTTAATCATGATGAATTTAATGGCTATTTCTGCTTGTATTTATTTTCATAATTATTCTGATATTTTATTATTGTCTTTATCACTTATAATTAATCAAAAGCATTACTATTCCAATAATGATTACATATATATTTTTCATTACCATAGCACAAGTAGTAGTAGTAGTTATTGTTATTTGTCATTAATTATCGCTATCACTGTTATTGCCATGCCCCCTCCCATGAATCCCTTGCTTCTTGTCGTGGAGGGGGCTTGGGAGACAGACTGAGGCCCAAGGTATGGGTTCACCCATACTTTGGACCTCAGTCCTCGCCTCAACTAATTTTACATGGTCTTTTCTTCTCCCCCTTTCCTTTTCCTTCTGTTTATCCTATTCTTCTGTCCACATCCTGGAGTATGAGAGCTGTGCTGAAAGGGTGAAAGGCTCGCTTTATGTCAGTCCTGCTCTTCTCTTTTCATTACCATACCAACCTACATCACTTAAGTTCTAACCTATTTTGTCCTAATTGTTAACTCATTTTTACCTTTTTCGCCACAATATTTTATCATAGTGCTGTGTGACCTTTCCTTACCAGGAGTCTGCCCCCAAGCCTCACCCGATTCCTATATTTTGTATACACCACTAATGACCTTGGATGTTGATGCAGCAGAAAAATTTTAATGAGCATTGCCACTCTCTCTGTCATTATTTTATCATTACTACAAATGTTATAATTACTACTGCTATTATCATTTTTACTGCTGTCAATACTACTAGTATTACCACCATTTTATTATTGTTATTTTTTTGTAATTTTTAATAATTATTAACTATTCTTTACTTTCACAATTGATATTTTAGTTATTGTTTTTTATGTTATCATATGTTGTTGATATCATTATCATCATTGTATCTATGATATTTGCTTTTGCTTTTGTTATTATCTCTGCAATTGTGATTATGATGTTAATGGTTATTATGAGCACACAGGATTATGGCCATTAAATGTTTAGGATAAAATTAGGATCTTAAAGATGATTTTGAAAATTATTAAGGTGATGAATAAATATATAATATATATATATATATATATATATAATATATATATATATATATATATATATATATATATATATATATATATATATATATATATATTATAATATACATAAACACACACACACACACACACACACACACACACACACACACACACACACACACACACACACACACACACACACACACACACACACACACACACACACACACACATATATATATATATACGACCACCGAGCTCGAAGCGCCTTGCTCCGACACCACGACCGTACCGTGCTGCGCATGCGCGTGAGCTGGTGATGAGGCGCTCTCGTGATTTCTCGTATTTTCCCATGTTTGTTTTTCCTTCGATAGGATTGGGATTAAAGTCTACAGGACTATGTAGACTTTAGGATAGGTAGGATTGGTGAAAGTTATTTGATTCCTGAATGTTTCGTGAATATGTTTCCGTAATTGAAATGAACATTTACGTGTGGATTTTAATCAATTCTTCATTAAAACTGATCATAAGAAAATAAATATAATAAACAAGATGAAATTGAATTAACTACCCAAGCATATTTACATATAGATTTGAATATACACTATTATAATAAATCTTTATACATTTACATACATATATAGATAGATAGATAGATTTATATAACTTTAGATTCTGCATTTATGTGCCCTTAGTTAATCGATATTTACGGTGTACATTTGTAATTGATTGATTTTTTGTTTGTAAGAGTAAATACGTATTGATGGGACTTGTTTTCCGAAACTTTCAAGCAAACGACATACATAAAATTTACTATTTATTTGTAATAAATTAGAAAGTCAACAAACATACAACAGGTAACATAACAAAGCATCAATAAATAATGATCAACAAACTGACATTAATGATACACCAACACGGTGAATGTATAAACCTATATATCACTATCACTCGCTTTGACACTGTAATGGAATGCCGAAAATGGTGTTGGAGAAGATTGGAAGCTCTATATGAGGAGTGAATCTTCTGTTTGCAAGATCTATACTTCTTAAATACTATGAGAGCGAGAGAGAAATATGACGGATCGGGTGCCAAGCTGATCTATTTCTGTGATGGAATGTGAATAGAGTTATAAAAGCTAAAACATAAAATAGTTCAATTGGAAGTTGAAAGAAACTGCAGCAAAACACCCTTATGATATAACACATCAGGAACAATCACATAAAGTGGGTAACTAATATTTCTTTAAATATATAAGATTTAAAGTCGAATAGTTTTTAGATCAGATAAATTGTACTTTTTTCTATTTCTTCCTCTTGGAAAAAAGACGATAAAAAGGTACTTTCAAGAACACCTTGCAAACAGAAAGTCCTTGAAACAACGAACTCCCAAAATTCAAAACATTTACACGAATTATCATATGACAAAAAAAAAAAAAAAAATCACGGACAGAAGACCCTCCAAATATGTATATCCTATCACGGAACCTCAAATATTTTCTTTACCAAAAAAAAGAGAAAAAAATATATACGCTTCTGTCACGAATGCACCAGAGCTCTCCATCCCCTTTCACCCAAGGGAGCTTAAACTTCCTCTTCCTCTATGGACGAGCTTCTGAGGCTGGCTGGCCGGATGGGGATGTCGATGCGGCTGTTCACTACGTCGTCGATCCAGTTGATGTAGCGGCTCACCTGGAAGACAAAGGGGGGGGGGGTTAGAAGGGAATGGGTGTTTTTTTTTTGTTTTTTTTTTGGTATTTATTTAATTTACTTTCTTGTTCTTTCTTTCTTTCTCTCTGTATCTGCCTCTGTCTCAGTCTGCCTGTCTCTCTCTCTTTCTCCTTTTCTCTTTCTCTCTCTCTCCCTCTCACCCCCTCCCTCCCTTCTTCCCCTCTCCCCTCTTCCTCCCTTCTTCCTCTCTCCCTCTTCTTCTCCCTTCTTCCCTCTTCCCTCTCTCCCTCTTCTTCTCCCTTCTTCCCTCTTTCTCTCCCTTATTCCCTCTTCCTCTCCCTTCACATCATCCGTATTACTTCCTCCTCCCCTTCTTTCCCTCTCCCTCGCCCACCCCTCTCCTCACCTCGGTGTAGACCCCGGGCACATTGGGGCGAGCGCAGCCGATGCCCCAGGAGACAATGCCGGCCAAATAGTAGCGGTTGTCAGCTCCACGGCAGGCGAAGGGACCGCCGGAATCACCCTGTAGAAAATAAAATAAAACAAATCAATAAATAAAAATAAACAAATACATGTTGATGATAATAAAATGAGTAAATGAATGATTAAACAGGTTATCATATGTGGAAAGAATAATGTTTAAAATATAATAATGACATCAGCATAAATAAATAATATCAAAATGAATAAAAAGGTTATCACACGTGGAAGGAATTATGATAAAAACATGACAATAGAAATGACACAGGAGACGTATAAATTCATGACCGTTATATTTTAATCATGTTTAACCCAACATTACACTATTTTGAAATCTAAGATCATATTTACCACAGAGAATTTTTCTTGACAAGAGAATTTCTAGACAAAACAACGAATATACATGAATTTAAATACCTCACAAACCAAAAAACAAGGACAAAAAAGAAAATAAAAAGGGCCTACCGGACAACCTTCCTTCCCTCCGGTCATGTTCTTTGCACGTCCAGACAAAACGACAAACTTCCACGAACATAAATACCCCCAAAACAAACAAACCAAAAGAAAAACAACAGAAATACGAATCTTTCCGCTTTGTTCCCTACCTGACAGGCATCTTTCCCTCCGAACTCATGTCCCGCGCACATCATGGAGTCCACAACGGGGCCTGTGTACCCGATGACCCTGTAGGAGTCCTCGCACTCCTTGTCGCTGATGATGGGCACGATCACCTTCTGCAGGAGGTCGGCGGACTTGCCTCCCTCCCGCAGCTTGCCCCAGCCGGTCACCACGCAGTCTCCTGCGGAAGGGGCGGGGGGGGGGGGGGGTACTGTGATTCGCTTGTTCTTTACTTTACTTTCATGAACTTGCTTTCGAAGTCGGTTTATACATATATATATATATATATATATATATTATATATATATATATATATATATATAATATATAATGTATAATGTACTTTTGTAATATTAACAATAAAAAATATATAATAAAATAACAATAAACAATAAAGCCCCAAGGTCATCAACAGGCCTACCTGTAAAGTTCGTCATGGGAGGCGGCAGACACGTGGGCGAGACTGTCATGCCGTCGAGTTCGAGCGGCGATGACAGCTTGATGAGCGCGATGTCATTTTCCTGCGTGTTGGCGTCGTAGAACTCGTGCTCAACGATGCGCTCGATATAGCGTGACTGCTCGCTGCTGTGACACGAAAGACGTTACTTTATTATTATTGTTATTATTTATTTACTCTTTTGGGGTGGTTAAATAGATTGTTGGTATTTTTGAGTTTTAATGTGGTTAGAGAGGAATATGTGGCTGGATGTTTTTATTTACTTCTTTGTTTGTTTGTTTATTTGGTTACTTTTTTTTTGCTGCCTTTCGTTTACTTTTAGGATTCGATTTAACCGTACTAATTTATTTTCAGTTTTCTTCATATCATATTTTTCTGGATGTTTCTCCTACCGTCTTTCCCCTTCGTATCTGTTAGTTATTTAAACCCATAATGAAAATTCACAAAGCCTCCCCTTTGAATAATAACCAATGCGTCTTTAGCACTTTTTCGCTCGATCCAGGAACCCTCCACATCCTGCTGACCTATCCTTCTCCTACCTTCTTTTTCCTTCAGCAGATGGTCTCCAGCCACCACGAGCAGTTCCTTGGGCGTGAATTGGTGTGTGCAATGGGCGGCAGTGATGATCCAATTCTGATCGATAACAGAAGCGCCGCAGATGTGATACGTGTACCAGTTGTAGCGCCATTGTAGCGAAACTTGCCAAGGGAACTCGTCTGCAAGGGGGAAAAAAGTGTCAGTTGATAGTTATTTACTACTTATTTACTATTTACTTATTTCATTATTTCTTTACTCCCATTCGCTATGTACTGCAGCTGATGTGCATTTTTTGTTTGTTTACTCGGTTGATTTACATCTAGAAATTACACATTTACAGCTAGAAAGTACATGATCAAATGTAATTTCATGTATTACGGTTTATGCAATGATGTGATTTACTCTTGCATATGATTTTATATCAATTATGAATTTTCATTTTATTTATCCAATAAGTGATTAACGTACTTCGTTAGAAATAAACATTTAGATTTATTTATTGTAGCATTAGCTGTTATTTCTCTGTCTTGAGTACTATTTGTCTTTGAATAAGTAGGCTACATCCAAGGTGAGTGTACTTGGCTGAGTACATAGCCTTTTTGTACCAACGTGATGCATCCGCTGTTTTTTCCCGTGAGCAAGTAGGAATTTTGGAGATAAAGACGAATTTACACAAAATACTGTACATGTCTATAAGTCATATGTTTTGAAATATTTTGTACAGGAATCTAATGTACGTAATAAAAATGCTTTAGTCGAGTCTATGTGCGTGTGTGTGTGTGTGTGTGTGTGCGTGTGTGTGCGTTGAGAACCACACACACACACACACACACACACACACACACACACACACACACACACACACACACACACACACACACACACACACAACAGACACACACACGACACACGCACACACACACACACACACATATAATGTTCATACTAATATGAGGTAATATATACCGTGTGTACTAGTCATGCATACGGTGTCATCTATACGCGTGTGTGAACTTACATAAGATACATAAATGTGTTCAAGCATTCATGCGTTCAGTCGCGTCCGTGTCCCTGTGTGCCTGAAATCCAACGTCCGTGTAGTGTGTGTGTGTGTGTGTGTGTGTGTGTGTGTGTGTGTGTGTGTGTGTGTGTGTGTGTGTGTGTGTGTGTGTGTGTGTGTGTGTGTGTGTGTGTGTGTGTATGTGTGTGTGTGTGTGTGTATGTGTGTGTGTGTGTGTGTGTGTGTGTGTGTGTGTGTGTGTGTGTGTGTTGTGTGTGTGTGTGTGTGTGTGTGTGTGTGTGTGTGTGTGTGTGTGTGTGTGTGTGTGTGTGTGTGTGTGTTGTGTGTGTGTGTGTGTGTGTGTGTGTGTGTGTGTGTCTGTGTGTGTGTGTCTGTCTGTGTGTGTGTGTCTGTCTGTGTGTGTGTGTGTGTGTGTGTGTGTGTGTGTGTGTGTGTGTGTGTGTGTGTGTGTGTGTGTGTGTGTGTGTGTGTGTGTGTGTGTTGTGTGTGTGTCTCGTGCGTGCATGCGTGTATGTGCTTAAGTGCCTGCGAGCGCGCGCGCGTGTGTCTAAGTACCTGCGTGTGCGAGTGTATGTGCGTACACAGCCATCCGTGTACATGCAACAAACAAACAGAACCAACAAAACCGACACAACAGCGCCTGTGTTCGCGCATCCGAGCGTTTTTATGCCCCCGTAACCGAAGTCGCAAACAGCGCGACATAAACGGCCATTACTCACGCGTCTCAGCTGGCGACCCGCCGACGATGCGGGTGATGACGTCGGGCACCGAGTTCCTGCGGATGCCACAGATCTCGTTGTTGCGAGCGAATCCCGGGAACCTGTTTGGGAGAAGGAGGGACGCGGTGAGATGAGGCAGGGAGGGAGGAAGGAGGGAGGAGGGAGGGAAAGAGGAATGGAGGGAGGGAGGGAGGGAGGGGGAAGGCATGGACGGAAGGGAGGGAGAAGGAAAGGTGGAGGAAAGGGAGAAAGAGCAGAAGAGAGAGAGAGAGAGAGAGAGAGAGAGAGAGAGAGAGAGAGAGAGAGAGAGAGAGAGAGAGAGAGAGAGAGAGAGAGAGAGAGAGAGAGAGAGAGAGACAAACAGAAAAAAACAGGAGCAAGCAGGATGAAAAAAAAAAAAAAGAAAAAAACAAAAAGACTAATGGTACTCGTTTACAGCGGGAAGAAAACCACAACGAACGATTCAGGAAGAAGTCGTTTCCGCTTTACAATTCAAGATATATGTGTCACAGCGTCAGTTGGTTTGTATGCCATTATGCCATCTTCGCAAAAAGAGGCATAAAATAAAAAACTTTTTTACTTCCATTACTGAGAAAGAAGGAAATAAAACGAACACGAAATTAACATAAAATATTCTCACATATCGGGACAATGGCTGTCAAATGTAGACTTTGTAAATCGAAAATAGATCATTGGCGAACAAAAAAATATATATATATACATACATATATTGCTTTCTTTTTAAAAGTGGGCCACAACTACTAATTTCGTTCGATGTTGCTTCAGAGTGCATGCAGCATAAACTCCATGTTGGCATATCCATTGGTTGCTCCTCTCATGCAGCATGGCCTATTGCACGTCCGGCTGTCACGGAATTTGCAATTTACCGAACTACAGAAAACGGGAGCCGACAGTATAGCCAGATAATCCATGTGATCGGGAAACCCCTTGCTTGATATTTTTTAATGTTCTTTAGAAATTATAATTTTTTAAGAAATATAAACGTGCTATAATATTTGCCTACTTTCGCTTATTTGAAATAAGAGAAACAAAAAAAAAAGGACGACAGTATAGCCAGATAATGTATCCAGGAGAAAAGCAAAAAAGAAAAAAAGAGGAGGGGGGGGAACGACAGTATAGCCAGATAATGTATCCAGGTGAGAAACCCTTGATTGGACATGCACACCGTATCTGGCATCAACTTTCGCTCATTACCTCGTTCGCTCGTTCTAAAATCTAAAAAAAAGTGGAGTAGTTCACTTATAAAGAGACAGACACACTAAACAAAATCATAATACACAGGTAAGCAAAATGTAAAAAAAAAAGACAATGAAGGCTACTTTTCTCTTACTTAATAGGATACGGTAAAATGTAAAAAAAAAAAAAACAATGAAGTCTACTTGTACTTAATAGGACACGGTTATTAAATCTGCGAGCCACGTGTCTGCCCCAAATGGCCGCTCTACCGTTCAGCGTTGTTCAGTTGTGTTAATGGCACTTAGGCTAGAACGTGTACATGTCCAAGTGTACATATGCTAGTAGTAACGGTGGTAGCAATAATGGCATTTTTGGGAGGGATGATTATAGTGTTGGTAATGATAGTATTGTCATAATCACTTTGTTTGTCTGTATGAATGGTTGTATGTGAATATGTATGTGTATGTGCAGTATATGTATATGCATGTTAGGGGACATGTTCATGTAAATGCCTCTGTATGTGCATATATACGTGTTTACACACACAAACACACACACACACACAACACACACACACACACACACACACACACACACACATATATATATATATATATATATATATATATATATATATATGTATATATATATGTATGTATGTATATATGTGTGTGTGTGTCTATATAAGTATATAAATATGTATATATATATACATGTGGTGTGTGTGTGTGTGTATTTGTGCGAGCGTGCGTGCGTGTGCGCGCGCCTATGCATGTCCATCAGCGTGTGTGTCTATCCCTCTATCTACTTATTTCCACACATGTATCCGTGTCCGTGCGTGTCCAACCTCTCGAGGCCGAAAAGGAATTCGCCGAAACGAACGGAACTCGAGGTCTGGCGAAGGATTCCGGTAACGGAGAGCCAATTACTCGTCGAGTGCTTGGCGAAATGGACAAATAAGTGTGTGCAACTATGCGAGTGCGCTTTACATGTTTTTATTATTAGTATTGTTTTTTCTTCGTGAAGCCAATTACTCGTCGAGTGCTTGGCGAAATGGACAAATAAGTGTGTACAACTATGCGAGTGTGCTTCATGTGAAGCAGTTGTTTTAAGTCCGTGACTGACGTGTCGGTTTTAAAGTATTATTAGGGAATGTGTTTAAAATTGTGTTAATCAAAATATCGCGGTTTAGAGGGTAATGTTGATATTCATCGTAATAATAATTTCGATAATGATGATTATGATGATCATGATGAGGATTGTGTGATGGAGATCATTACAATTATAAATTAAAAAAACAAGGATGAATATTCTGAAAGAACAACATTAACAACAACAAAAAACAGCAGTTATCGTGAAGTATGACAGCACAAAAAATATAAACAATTCCTAAATAAACACTACACCCTCACCATACCGCGTTTTATCACACCGAAAGAAACACTATAGAAAAAAAGAGAATAACAATAAAAAACGAAAGAAACGCTACATATAAAAGACAATAACAATGGCTAGTCTGAAAACACCCTCACCATACCGAGTTTTATCATACCGAAAGAAACATAATATATATAAAAGACAATAACAATGCCTAGTCTGAAAACAAACTTTGATATTTTCTTCAGAGCAACAGCAGCCATGGAAATGCTCCCTCACACAAACAAGCCGTCGAGGGTTCTGAACGACCCGCGGGCAATAAACGACCTACTGGACCTAATTGCCTTGTCGTCACCCCCCCCCCCGCCCTTCCTCCCCCCCCTAGAGACATATAGGCCTCTTACACTCCTCTTTACCCCCCCCCCCCCCCCCCACTCCCTCCTCCGCGATCGATCTCTTCACTTTTGTCTTTCTTTCTCTCTGTCTCTGTTCTTCTGCTTCGCCTTCTGCAGGGGAGGACCTTTTCCCTTCTGCGTGGCTGTTGCTCTGTTCCTGTTTTTTGTTTGTTTTGTTTTATTTTGTTTTTGTTTTTTTTTTGTTTTTTGTTCTCTGTTCTCTTTTCTCTTTCCTTTAAACCTTTTTCTTTCTTGGTTCCTCCCTTTTCTGAACTCTACTCTCTTTCCTCTGTTTCCCTTTCTTTATTTCCATTTCTGGACCCTTCTTTCTTTCTTCTTCTTTTTCTTGTTTTTCTACTTCTGAACTCTCTTCATTCTTCCTCTCTCCTCTTTTCACTTGTATGAAACCTTTCTTCCTAATTCTCTCTATCTCCTCCCCTTCTTTCTACCCCACTCCCCCCCCCCCCTACACCATCTTCTCTTTATTTCTTCTTCTTCTCCTTCTTCTGTTTTCCTCTCTCCTCCTCCTCCTCCTCACATGAAACCCTTCCCTCTTCCCTCCCCCCCCCCCGAGAAACCCTCCTTCTCCCATTCATCCTCCTCCACTTCCCTTCCTTCCATCCTTCTGCCTCCTTTTCCCACCTTTCGTTCATAAGTAATACAAAGTTAAAAACTCTGAAAAGAAATACGTAACGAATAAATATAAGATTTTTCTCCATTTTATCTTACCCTGAAAAAGACGAATCAGTGAAAATACTCAAAACAAACAAAAAAAAAAAACAAAAAACGTACCTAAGACCAGACCAAATACTTAAACAAAGGGGAAACGACCCTAGCAACATCCGACAAAGACAAACAAAGACAAAGACGAACAAAGACAGACATTTCGGGACCACAAAAAACAGAGGCCAGGGCGCGCGTGGAACAGAGCCACACGGCCGACGAAGCTCTCCTGGTACACGCTGACTTGGTAAATATTGAGTCGGTTGCTGAGGGATGGACCGTTATGGTGGAGGGGGGGGGGGGGGGGGAGAGGAGGAGGAGGAGGGCAGGGGGAAAGGATAGGGGAAGAGGGGGTGGCGAAGGAGGAGGATAGGGAGTGGGGGAGGGGAGGAAAGGAGGAAGAGGGAGGGAAGGAGGGGAGGGGGAAGAGGAGAGAGAGAGGAGGGAGGGAAGGAGAGGAGGAGGAGGAAGGGGAAGGGAGGAGGAAGAGGAGGGGAGGGAGGAGGGAGGGAGGAGAGGGAGTGAGTAGGAGGGGAGGTGTAATAGGGGAAATGAGGAGAAGAGAAAAAGGAAGGAAAGGAAGATAAGAAAGATAAATTGAAGGAAGGGGAGGCAGGGGAAGATCAAGAGGGTAAATAAAACCTGAAGTTTCCGATTAATAAAAGCGAACAAAATTAAAGAAGAAAGAGACAGTATTGGAAGACACAAACACAAGGGATAAAGTAGTCGATATATGAATAAAAAACACGAAATTAAGAGAAAATATTTGAGAAGTGAACCAGAGACGGTAAGAAGTGAAAATACAAATAAAAAGGAAATGCCTTAAATCTGTGAGGAATTGATCCCTCGAAATACAAAAGGAATTGAAGCGAATCGGATACAGGAAATCGTTGTAATACGAATGACTAGTGTGATGATGAAATCAATAATGATAATGACCACAGTAAGGAAAATGATAAGAATAATAATTATAATGATAATAGTATTGAATCATAATAATAAAAATAATATTAATAGTAATAATAACAGTTAATAAGAATAGTCACAATAAGATTAATAATGATAATGATATTAAGAAGAAGAAGAAAGAGAAGAAGATGAATCCTTATATTAATACCAATAATAACAAGCCAGATCAAAAGACAAGCCCTCTTTAGGGTTGCGGCAAAGCCACTTCCAGCGCCGATCCATCACCATCAGGTTTTCAGGGAAGGAAAGTTGTTACGCGAACCCCCCACACCCACCCCCACCCCGCCACCCACCCCCACCCCACCCTCACCCCCACCCCGCCACCCCTCCTAAAAAAAAATGGAAAACGATCTCCTTGTCTCTGCTACTCTCGACGGCCGTGAGTCTGGCCGGCCCTGCATTCCGCCGCCGGTTGGGTTACGCGGTGGAACGGTGCGGTG